AGCATAATAAAGCTAATAAATGAATTAAAATAATTAACTATATAATGACTTAGAAAGGAGGTTCTTTTGTAAATCAATAGATACTCTTTTTATCCTTAGTCACCGATGTTCTTATGTCGTTTCCGCGTTGGATACTTTGCTGTTCATACTGTCTGCAAATAAATAATATAAGAATTAAAGAAATTTGCAAACATTTGAAAGTTATATACTCTAAATTCCAAACAGTGATCTCCAGTTCGAATTAAAATTAAGCTTCACAAACCAAAAGGAAAAGATCCACTTTAAATATAGGTAAATGAAAGTCAAAGTGAAGAAACATGCTTAATTTTTCTAATGTGAATTTTTTAGTCTGAATTAAGTAGTTTATTATAAAATTTAAGAGAACTCGCTTTAAGGGATTAAAAATCTTACCTTTAACAATAAGAAATTTTTCTGTTGTCAATGGCAATCTAAGTTCTTCTGTATCATCTTAATTTATATTGGCCTTTACGGCATTTTGACATCAATTCCCATAAGTGGATGTACACCATAGTATTTTTATGAAGAAATACCTATAATGTAAATTGAAAAGTAAGTGCATTATAAATGAGAGTTTTTATAGAAGAGATCATTTTTTACAGCAATTATTTTAACTTATTTTAGAATAAAATCTTAATGTGAGAAAAGGTTACCTAAACATTACAGTAACTGTATAAAATCTTTGTGAGTAAATATTTAAATCATTTAGTCTTTATTTTATAAAAAAAGATAATTAAGTTATTCTTTTTAACATTCTTGACATTCCACTTGCTTTTTTAAGTCTAGTAGTTCTTCCAACTGTGTCTTAGTTTTATCAAAAGTTATCTATAAGCTGTTCCAAATGTGATTATCATTTTTGGCAGAAACTAAAGACCTATCTCTTTAGTTGCACACGCCTAACAGGTCTGGGTTTTTAAAAATTTCATCTAATTCAAATTTTATGAAACGCAAGGTTGATCAAACAGGAGGAGAAACGTTTGAGAATAACCCATTCCTTTTTATCACCATTGACTTTCTGATAAATTAAATAAGATCAAGTTCTTTAAGTCTTCTAATTCTGATAGACAATTTTGTCAGATTATAATCAAATAATGTTCATCACAATAAGAAATTAAATCAGTATTAGACAGTTTTCTGAATTTTGCCAACTCTACAAGTAAGGCCATGGATCTTGTAATCACATGCGTTGTTAAATAGTGTAAATTTATGAAGAGTTCAAGAAATTAGATAATAATTAGTTGAAAACAACAGACATAATAGACGGACACAATTTGTTTTGAAAAATTTGCACACTATACAATCAAACATATACAAACTGAGGAACAATTAAAAGGGCTAGTCAACTATAGCAAGCAATTACCTTCATAAGATCATTGACAAAAAGAAGAGAGAAATCTCACTTTTATAAGAGATCATAATTATTGCAAGAAACTGTTGATTCAAATAGTCTATTAAGAAATTTCGTTTGAAATTATCTATTTTCTTTCGAATGAGATACTTGAGCATCAGTAATTTTTCGGAATTGAGCACTTTAAGGGATATGACATTTTTATCTAATATTGTGCATTTGTAATTAGTCTACTCCTAAAATTATATTCCTAATGTTTTTGTTTTTTGAATTTTACTAAACAAGTAGGAATAGATTCCAGTAAACAACGTGGATTCTATATAGCTAAAAGCAAAGCTATCGATTAATAGATTTTAAGCTTACAGAGCATTAGCATAGTGATTAACAAAACTTTAATTAATAATATTTTTTTTATTTTATAACTTACATAACTTACATGATGTTAATGACGCTATTTTTTATGTTGTACAATTTACAAAATTTTACATTAGAGTATGATAATATTAGAACACATTTAAAGAGTTGGTAATATATTTTGCTAAAGTTAAATATGTTGTCATTACTTAAATTAAACATGCACTTTAATATTTCCCTTATTTCTGATTAAAACATCCCTGACCTAGCTGATAACATATCTGTTTACTGCAATTATATTTGAGTGATTAATTCTTTAAATTTTAATGTTGTCTTTTTCAAAAATTGCCTTTTACTACTCCTGTGAACTGTATACGAATCATTACTGTAATGTTTAAGTAACCTTCTCTGCCATCTGGATTACCAGTTGTTCTAAGATTAGTTAAAAATAATTAGCTTTTTTATTACATAAATTTGACAATTATGCACTTATTTCTCAATTTGCATTGTGGATATATCTTCATGAAAGTACTATGTGGCACATCTTTTACAAATCACGTTAGATTAATTAAAAATAATATACAAGACATAACCAGAATTAACAATATAATATTTTTAAAAATATTATATGTAATATTCTTAAATGGATAAGTTTCTTAATTATTGTACAACTCTATACAGAAAAAATGAACAAAAAACAAACAAACGTGAATTATGCTTTCACTTTATTTTTTACCTAATTAAAGTGGTTTTCTTACTCTATGTAGACGGATTCCAAGAATTATAGAGTATAATTTTCAAAAGTTCATAATTACAAATGTTATACATATTTATATTATTTATTTTATACTATGCGCATAAAAAATAATCGAAGCGGAAAGGACAAGAGAACATCCGGGATGAAGAATAGGGAAGACTACCTATGATTTTAGAAAAGAACCTCCTTTTTAACTCATTATATATAAAAGAACCAATTTCGTAGACGGTCCCAACTGTCGAGTTGTCAATAAACCTGAAATATTTTATAAATACAAATTTAAATATAATTTTATTTTATAATTATAAATAGTTAATTTCTTTGTGAATATAGAATATGATACATAATAAGCATAATAATTATCATTATTTTACATTTATAGTAAAAAAATAAACTTTGAAACTCGACAAATGGTACTTCTTCGACAATTGATTCGTTTACACTTAATTAATTATTTCGATTAATACATAATTATTATGCCAGTACAATCTCAATACTTTTAAAAAGCATTTACTTCTCTCTTAAATTAAGTCAGTAATATATCACCAGTAAATCAGCTGCAAATAGATCAATTAATCATATAAATACATTTTTTACCGAGGACTATATAAACATACCGTTTTTACGGTCCGTCGAGGAGAAGATTTCACTGAAAATTAAAAGACTTATAATTGATTCATAAATTAATTTTATTTTCAAATGTTATTTCTATATTTATAGTAGCTGTCAAACTTATTTTTGTAAAGTCATTACATATATATAAATGTTTTTATTAGAATAAATTGGATTAATATTATATGGGTGATTCTCCAGAAACTGGTCATTTTTTAAGGGTGTTTTTACACTATTCTACATATACTATTTGACATTAGAGTGTCAAAACAGGCGAGCCCAAAATTTCGAACACAACTTATCGATTTATAAAATATGAGACCATGACCTAAAAAAGTAAATGTTAGATTCTTACACTAAGCTAAATATCTAAGATAATTATTGTCAAACAAATTTTTTTCCATTATTTGAAATTATCACTTAGACAAATTACTTTGGACTTTCATACATTAAAGGGGTTGTGCACATGATACGTTACACGCAATTTTTAGTTATTTTAGACTTCTACCCCCATGTCACACATTGTTATAAAAGTCAGATAGATTTTTGTTGGTACTTTTATTGACTAAACAGACAAATTGAGACTACATCATTTATATTAAGAAAGTATTTAGAAATAAAATAGTACATGAGGAACACAATTCTTTTTGCAAAAGTTCTTTGCAAATAACACGGGGAAAAATTAGGTAGAGTCGCGGTAAATTACACAGACATGCATACAGTTATAACCAGGGCCTAGGAGGAATCAACCGTAATAAAAATATATCTTTTCTGAGTTTTGGCACATCTACATGCAATTTTTTCCCGTTTTGCTTTTCTAAGGTAAAACCGAAAAAAATTATATTTGTGGACTCCAGGTTGCAATAATTCACGAAATACGCCTAAAAATCAGCCTCCTAATTTTGTCCCCTTAATTTTGCTTAAGTAAATCGCTTTCATAAATCGGACACTAAAAGGAGTTTATTGTGAATCTCCTTACAATATCTGGTTATGCTAACGATTTAACTGATACAGTAAGTTATTTGCTATTGCAGCTAATAGATATTTGCTACATTTGATGAAAAGTATTAGCTTTAATCCTTAGCTGCCACAGCTAAGGATTAGCAATTCCGTGCGTGTAAACCCCGTATCCGGCCGACATTGCCGCCAGTTTTACTTCGCGTCAAAAGACATGGACAGATAACCGTGGAAAAGTTTTGTTAAATGCAGTGATATATTAGTAAGTAAATATTAATTATTATTCAAAAATGTTGAATGAAGAACTAATCTTTAAAAAAAATCCAGGTGTTTTTGCGGAATCACTGATTATGAATTTCAAATCAGACTTTTAAAATTCAAAAAGACAATAATCCAATATGATGGACAAATTATCAAAAAAACTATCACTTATAAAAAAATTGATATGATAGTTTTTTAACAGTCTACCATGTTGAATTTGCCTTTTTTAATTTTGAAAATCTGATTTCACATTCATCCACAAGAACGCTCAGATACCAAGTTTCATCCATCAATTTGTAAAAATTTCGCGTTTGTCTCAAATCCGTTATTCTTTGAAGGTTAGAAAAAATTCTGACTTAATTACGCAAATCTTAATATTCGTGTTCGGCGACCCCAAAAATACACCTAGATACCTATAATTTTCATTTAAATCCACTAATCTTAAAAAAAAACTAATCTGACACTCAAAATGCGACATATTTTTTGAGGTTTGAAAAAATGCTCATGTGACGCAATAAATCTGACTTCGGATTCGTGTTCAACGCCCCAAAATACATATAGTAAGGGGATCTGAGGGACAAGACACTTTTTTGTGGGGCTGTGTTATATATATATGTATTAGTGTACATGATACATATTAATGAATGGCCACTCTTTAATTATTTATTAAATTATATAATTTATTAAATTTACCTTCTTTTCATATGGATTTAGGTCTGCTTTTCTTTTAATCACAAGAACTGGATTTCAACGCATCCATTGAAAGCAATCCTTCTCAAAGTGGTCACTGAAAAGTAAGATAAATTTCAATGTATAAAAGTATTTGTTAGCCGTGATCAGTAAAGCACTCTTAGGTTAGGTCTTAGATTGGGTAGTGCGTTAGGGGTTCGATCCCTGTAGGGATTAAATTTAACTTTTATATTTGATGTACACTGAAAAAAAATTTATTTGATTCAAATAATCGGTTATACTTAACTATTTAAATAAATTTATGAATTACCATATATTTATTTATTTTAAGTCTAGTAAATATTTATTTGGTTCAAATACATAATTAATAGATAGTAGGCAAGTAAATAATTTATTTTGATCAAATAATTTTTATTTAATCCAAATAATTCTTTTTTCAGTGTATCAGAAAATTGGAATTTCATGATTATACGTATATTTTCTTTTAAGCGGAGATTACCGATACTATATGCGAATCCGAACGAATCTCGTCGATTCCAGTAAAATCCTAACTCATGCAGTGAGAATTCTTGTTAGTCACGAATTATTACGGAGTTATACGAGCTAATTTCGGTAGCGATAGCCGAATATTCACAAGTGAGTGATTATTGGTTATTGATAGCATAATAATTATGGGCTATTTTATATTTTAAATCATAATATGTTTTCGTAGAAAATTGTTTTGTAAAGAATAAGTGTAGACGTGAAAAACGGCTTCATTCAATTAAATTATTTTATAAATTAGAAAATCCTTATGTTTCAAGAATGAGTCCGAAACATTGATACTACCGAATTATACAATGTATCTTTATTAAAAATAAGTACCAATCACTTTAAATAAAACGAAAATTTCCTTAATTTAAAAATAGGAAAATTACGAAAATTACTAGCAATCCTTTAAAATCTTTAATGAATTTTACAAATATTGTTGAATTGGATTCTGAGTGAACAGCTCGTCGAACGTTTCTCATACACTAGGCTTCATATATTAAATTCCCTATATCATGATATGTAATTCATATGAGCTGAAAACTTGAATAAAAAATGTATGTACCTTACTTAAAATAAAAGTTTAACATAAAAACTAATATCAATTAAAGAAATTATTTCTATATTTTAAAATGTTAAAATGAAGAGACACAAGAAAACACCAGATAAATCCAGTTTTTATTAGTCGTAACATTTATCCTTTGTATTTACAGTGGTCGCACTTTCAGCGAAATGTTGAGTATTTGCGTCATATATACGACAAAGAATACTCATTCGCGTAAACTAAAAAATTTGCATATAAATAATATTATCCTACTATTGAACACATTAAAATTTTAAGTTCATTTAAAAATGTCAAACCAGAGCAAGTTGAAATATACATATAATCAAAAATCTTGTTTAAGTGTCAAATTTAAATTATGCACGCTATTCAAGATTGGATTCCAATCTTGGATCAATCCTCGCGGAAGTCATATTCTACCATAGTCAATTGTTTTGTCTAATCTTTTTTGCAATGTTAATTTCATGACATATCTTGAATTAATGTTTAATGAACTGATATTAATAGTAAAATTTTTTGTTTATTTCTTTCATAATAATGTTTTAATTAAACATTATTACCGAAAAATCAGAGCAATAAAAGATGTAAACGCTTAACCTAAGAATGAAAATCTCGCACGCGAGGGGTGGGATCGAACCCAAAACCTAACAAAGACGCATCGCACTTAGACCACGCAACCACTCTGACAGTGACAGTTTTTACAGAAATTGCTTTATTAATATTTTATGTAGTTAAAATTACTGTTAATAATAGTTACAACATTTGTTAAATAAATTATTTTCAGAATTTGTATAAATGAAAAATCTATTTACTCGGAAAAAATTTGTTATCAGGAACAGCAATAACTTTGACTGGAACAACGAAATGTTTCACTAAAATAGCGAAAGTTTTTGCTATTCTAGAGAAACATATTGCTGTTACAGATAAAGATTTCTTTTTGTGTATTAGTTAAATAAAGAATAAATTTACTATTGTTAAATTATTGTTAAAAATGTTTATTTTAAAACTTTGTATGTAATAAAAAATACCATCAATTGGGCTACTTGTCATGCATTTTTAAATAATAATAATTTTTACATAAATAAAGATTTAAATATCAATCCATTCGAGTTATAATTAAATTTTTACAGTCAGTACTTTAAAGTTTTTTTTTTTAGTAGTTGTTAAAATTGAAGTTATTTGCAGTAGAATTAACTAACACATGCTCTTTAATAATTACAGAAATGTAGGATATTATTAATTTACAATTGTTAATACAACAATACTTATAAATTTTTCAGTAACTATTTTTATTCTTAAGCTGTAAATATTCAATTATTTTTCAGTAGTTAAAGTGAAATACAACAGGATCATAAATCTTAATGTAGATACAAAAATAAATGTACACCAGAAATTATTCTTACTGTTCTCTTATTTCAAAAAAATCTTTTGTTTATAAATGATTATAATGTAGTTATGTATGAGTAAAAATAATAGAAGGAAATAATTTAAAAAACATATATTTCACTTATTTGTTTTTATATTTCTTAATACTCAAATTACATAAAATTTGAAAAAACTATCTTATTAAGTATATTAAAGAAATATTAATAATTAGTAATGGCATATTGAGTTTTTCCAAAAATGAATTTTAGCACAATTCAGCACAATATTTGTTTTTTGAAAATTTTAACTTTACTGGTCTAACTTCCTGGACATTATCTTTTTGTAATATCACTTTTTCACACTGGGGTCAGCATGATCCCGGTAGTTATTTTATTCGCACAGAAATGTGGCAGCTAACGGTTAAATTTACATGAAACATTGACTATTCATATGAAAAATTAAATGTAAATTACATGATTTGATGGAAAAAAAATGTATATTTCTTGGATAGTAAGTAAAATATCAATTTTTGCAAAGAAAATTTTGTTAAGATATGTAAAATTTATTAACAAGGGTAGGTATTTTAAAGGTAATAAGTATCTAGAAGAATTTAAAAAATGAAGTTATGTAAATTTGTTTCTTTCTCACATTTTAGTTTATAATGAAAAAAAAAAATGACTGATGGTATACTGTCATCTACGAGAATAGTTGTGTTACGGATTCATAAAAAAATTCTTCACATTTGGAAGATTGAGTAGATATTTAGGTCCCTTGTAATAATATTCACGATAATTTAAAATAGTGTAGATGTAGCCTAGATGGAGACGACAAAGTCGAGAGCTATGACCACGCCATGCAACCGACATTGTATAGTCGCATTACATAATTTTCGTAATACTACAGTCGGTAATTTCTAGCGCTCGAAGAGGGTGTGGAACAAGTGCATCGGGTCGCAAGGGTGGTGGGTTAGAGGAGCGGAAAGCTGTGAAGCAAGTGTGTGTGTACATGCGGAGGAGAAAGGGGTGCTCTCTCTCTCTCTCTCTCTCTCCCTGTGAATAGAAGGAAGGAAAAGCTTGATAAGTCAGTAAGAGGAATTCAAGGATACAAGAGAAGAACACACTGTCAATGAGGAAGGTGGACAATCAAATGCTACAATTGAAAATAATACTCACCTTGGAAGGTCTGCAAAGTCTTTTAGTGGAGGTGACAAGAGAAAATTGGATGTCACATACGCCGCTTCATCGGGTCACCGCCGCTTTGCTTAATATAATATAACACTACTCTCAGCGCCTTCGAGGGGCGCGCGCGCACACTAAAAATAAACTCGCTCGCAGCCGTTCCTTGTCGTTGATTCTTCTTCCTCTTCTTCGTATTTTTCACTTTTTATAACGTGCTCGACACATTTATATGGAATCTTAATTTGATCACATGAACCTGTCACAATCTTATCCACAAAATGAAAATTTCAGTCACTAACACATGTTTCTTCTTCATACAGATCTGTGACGAGGTCGAGGTTATGCGAGGAAAAGCTAGGTGTGGACGAAAAGGGTGAGAGTGAGAGAGAAACTAAGGACGAAAGTGGGGATTGAAATAGTAAACTTTCAAATGTATGTGTATGTGCCTGAGAGAGAGAAAGAGAGAGAGAGAGAGAGAAAGGGGAAGCAGAAGCCCAAGGGCTAAGATCGAAGAAGGAATTAAAGGGTAAATGATGAAAGGAAAAACGTAGAGATTAAGAAGATATCTCTCTTTCTTTCTTTCGCTACTTTCTTTCGTCAGTGGTACAGATATAGCTTGAGCACCAAAATTTTGTTCATTAATTCACTATTTATCACACATATATATATCCTTCTTGCCAGGCAAACTTTACTCACTTATTCTTTCTTCAATTATAACGAACCTTATCATAAACTTGTTATTCACAAATACACGCTGCTATTATATCTGCCACTGATTTTGTGAAACTTAAAAATAATCACATCACTTAAAATCCTTTTAGCCATAGACACGTAAAAGAAGAAACAGTAAAGACAATTCTCACATTCAAAGGAGCCTTTTCTTTAATTCCTCTTTTCATATAGACTTTGAATTTTAACACAATTGAGGAAACAATTATTTTAGAAACAAATCTACTAAAACAAAAAATAGATAGGCAAAAAGAGGGTCACGACTTTTTTCCTAAAATAGCGTAATTAAGTGCACAGAGTGCACAGTACTATGGGTTCTTTCAGACTACCGTAGTTTCATTTTGTGAGAATTCGGATCATAAACGCATGCGCTTTGATATGCCCTTGCGCAGCAATCAACCCACTCACCCACCCATCTATCTATAAGCTTCTTCCCCGATGACGTCGGAAGCTCCCTACTGCCACTAACCCCTTGGCTTCGTTATTTCCATGTCAGTGACGGCGCCTTTTTGTCCAGGATACTATTCCTTTACAACTGTTCTCTGTGTATATTAATAAAATGTTTACTCTAATACAAAAAAAAGAGGAAATTCTATTTTATACTCTTTTTTTTATTACATTACGAGTACGTAATGAAAAACGTAATCAACAGTGGCGTAACAACAACAAGGCGACTTTGAGTAGTTACGTTACGTAATTGCTATGTAACATCATGGTAATAATGTTACATAACGAAGTTATGTATCCGTTACGTAACATAAAAGTAACACTCATGTTATGTCCCCTAAGAGCATTCGGATATTCAAGATATCTTACGGATGTCCTAAGGATAACCGGAAAGTAGGATATCCATAGATATCCTGCAGACACCCTAGAGATATCAAAATTTCCGGATATGGATAGGACGTCCATAGGATATTTTGAAATGTCCGTTGCTGTTGGGGTCACTGTAACAAATGTGTTACCAATCTTCAGAATTGTTACATGTAATTTTTTAGCAATGCTGTAATTTTGCAAAACTTATAACACAATACGAAGTTGCAATCTTACACAATTTGCACGGCAAGCTTTATGCAAGTTTTCGTGCCGATTGGAAAGCTTCCCTCGCACTACTGGATATCCCGGGATGTCCTAAATATCCTGTAGATATCCTGAGACTATTTGCACGATATTTCAAAGACATCCTCTAGAGTGCGTCAGTATGGATATTCTCTGGATATGTTACAGATATCCATAGGACATCCGAAGGATATTCATAAGATGTCCCAAGGACATCTCAATTATGTCCATTTCTTGACATCCTGTAAGAATATCTTCATGATATCCCTAGGATGTTTTGAGGATGGCCCAAGGATATTGTCTATACCCTTTTCCATAATATTTTACTAATTGGCGAGTTTCTATATTTAAGCATTATCCAAATTAAAATGTTTATATTACTTTAATCAAAACAAAAATGTATGAAAGAAAAATACATCAATTAGGCTTCGAACGAAAACAATTACATAATCATTCTATAACAGTGTTCACTGGGACTTGGTAAAGAAGATAGCTTTTTTCTTCAAATAAAGTATAATAAAAGTATGATATTAAGAACAAACACAATATCGTTTATAAAATTGTGACATCTGTAAAAGCTACAATTCTAAGAAACTAATCTTGAGGTCGTTAATGAAACTGGACAGACAAAAATTCTGGCTTCACAGTTTGAAATGAACAACCTCGTATGAGATTTAGGATTGGTGAAAGACAGTGTAAACTATTCTTCTATTCTATTCTAGAACAGATCTAGAACAGTTGCAGGTTGTGCGCACTGGGAAGGTTTTCTTGTACCGAAATTGATAAGCATATTTTGCACTGACGTTAACGGACTCATAAATGAAATCAAAGAAAATTTTTGCGAAGCAAAAAATTGGCGTCTTTTCGGCAACAACAGTCGCCAAGATGATAAAGGACTACAAGAAATTAGGATGCTTAATGAATTTGAAGCTGCATTTCTTATATTTTTATCTTAACAGGTTTACACGTGGATTCAGATTCAGCGACCCTAAAAACATTTGGTATATCAGATCAGAAACAAATTTTTTTGTGTGTGGTTATGTTAGGGTACGTTTATACCATCGTCAGCATGGTAACTTTCAAGAGTATAAGACATAGATGATTGTTTTGTCTCTCTCACTCTCGAAAGTTACCATGGAAACCAGTCAGCAAAATTTTTGCTGACGATGGTATGACCGTACCCTTGTTCTTATAGAATTTGAATGTGAAACTTGGCCATAACTTTTGTCTTTTGACAAAACTCGATCAATAGTATTCTACGATTCAATAAGTCAGGACGTAGGCGATTCTCGATGAGTGTTAAGTTTGCTGCGCGAGCGCTGCAATCATACAAGTCGAATCACCATCTCTAAGATGCGCATTATACTTTTTTCAAAAACTACGCAGAAAGTGCGACTCAAAGATTGTTAAGAGGGAAAAATCAATAGATTTCGAAATCTACCACATTCATTTTGTCACCAATGTCAAAATGTAGAAACTAAAAAACCTTATGAAACTTATATTGGTCGGAGTTCAGATGGTTTTAGAGAGAGAAAGGATTGTTTTAACAGGTTTCTTATTCTCATTAGTATTATGAATTTGTTTCCTTTATACTTTATTTTATTTAGAATTTTAAAATGATATTTATCTGTTGGAAAACAGTTATAAATTTATCTTAATATAAATAACGTAATAAGTATCTACAAAGTTTAGTTTTAAAAAACTGATAACAAGAAAATTTTTATTTTACATTTATTTTTTAAAGTTTTTGTCATAGAAATAACTTGTAAAAAATTTAAAAATATGTTTTAAATGTACATTTATAATATACAATTTAAAATAATATCGTTTATAATAAAATATCTTATTTGGTCTGAAAATTTCTACAACTGATGTTTTTAGTTCATAAGGCAACTGGAATTTCATATACTCTACAGTAATATATGAATAAAAAAATTTCTTCAACTAACCAGGCAGGAATATATTATTAACAACTGGCACGCTCTAACAGTAAATTTTTTGTTGAGTCATTAATAAAACATACGACATTAAACTTCTGTAGAATGTGTTTGAATGCGCACTTTCTTCTGCGAGCCATTTCTTGAAAACGTTGGACTATGTGTCGAAAATCCTGGATTATGGATTCCTAAAGGTTTTGGTTTTTTCAAAGAACTTCTGAGTGGCGAGGAGACACTAACCATACTTCCTGAAGTAGCAACAGATGCTATAGAACCATTGCCTGCAACGGATAAGTAAGGTGTCCTACTAGAATCAGTCATAGACACTGCACCTCCTGAAAATAGAACAAAATGATTTAGTTAGATTGGAATTATAAGTCAAATTACATTACATGGTCCTCTTTATGTGTAAAATATGAATAGTGAAATCACAGAAAATTAAAAGGCATTAAAATAAGCTGCAACGCTTATTATTTTAATCCAATTTTGCTTATTTTAATCCATTTTGGTATTAAAATAAGCAAAATTGGATTAAAATAATAAGCGTTGCAGCTTATTTTAATGCCTTTTAATTTTCTGTGATAGTGTCTTGTATGGGATGGGTACTTAGTTCAGGAACATTAAAGTTTTTTGGAGGTTGGGGTACGGGGTTTAGAAAAATTAAATACAGTTGGAAGAAGGGGAATTTTGGACAGCTCAAACGTTGCACTTTTTGTTGTTAACTTTTGTTGTGTTCGTTAAAAAGAAGTCAGTTTTCAATTTGCACTGGGTACTTAGACCTTGTGAGATGGGGTAAAATGGTTAAAAAGTAATAATAAACTGAAGAAAAACAAGTAAAAATAACGTATTTTTGAATGGAATCTTGATGAAGAAGGGGTCGGTTGCTTGATTTTTGATAAGGGAGTCTTTAATTTACTTGGATACTTTGGCCTTGCGTATAGGGGTCAGATGGCTTAAAATTGATAATGAAGTAATGAAAAACAGATAATAATTGTTCTGAAATGAAGAAAATAACCGGTTTGACGGTGGTAATATTCTGAAAAAACACAAAATTTAGCATGTTAAATATTGGAAAATACTTTGAAATGGGATTTTAATCAGTGATCGTTGCATTTTGTTTTTAAAAATATTTGTTGTGTTCAAGTATTGTTGTTTTTTTAATAAACAAGTTTTATTGAATTTCGAAAATAAATACTCTCAACCTTGATATGCTATATCTAATGTCGAGTTTGAGGAAATTCCCTTTGCTTTTTTTAAAAATTGATTTTTAAGGTTATTTATTATTCTATATTAATACTGAATTTACCATTAGTAGGTTGGTGATGTTCTCTATAACCAGGATTGTTTATTGTAGTGCCTGAATCGCTTTGAATCGGTCTTAACTTTGTAGGATCCCCTCCTCTTCGAACATAAATCCCTTCATAAACAGAAGATACAAGGATGATGAAGCTCAAAGCGATGGAAGCTAACTAAAATAATATAGATAAGTACATTTATATGAAAAACATGTACTGAAAAAATAGACACAATTATTTGAAATGAATTCTACCAACAAAATTTTTTATATTCTTTAAGTTTAAAGTTATTTTCAAATCAACAAAAAAGAGGATTTTTAGTTTATAGATAATTTTTTCATAGTTGACAATTTTTGCGAATATATATGTACACGGAAAAAAAGAAAAAGTAACATTTACTACTTTAAAAGTAAAATTGGACCTGTCCGAAGTTTCTGCGCATCTCTGGCAACTTTTACTCCAAAAATAGTAAAATTTACTTCAGAAATAGTAAAAATTACTACGGAAACAGTAAAATTTACTACAGAAATAGTCAATTTTACTATTTTTCGAGTAAAAGTTGCCAGAGATGCGCAGAAACTTCGGACAGGTCCAACTTTACTTTTAAAGTAGTAAAAGTTACTTTATTCGTTTTTCCATTTTTCTCCGTGTATATGTAGTATATACTATATATTTATTATATATATCACTCTGTGGAATAATGGATAGTTGTCCATTCTACTGAGCACTATTATTTAATATGAGCTAAAGTATATTTCATTATATAAAATATAGAGTGTATCACCGATCTCGGTTTAAGATTCTCAACAAAAAAGACTCAACTTCTTTACTGAAAGTATTGCTAAAAATTATATTTAAAGAAACGAATTACCTGCATATAGAATCCTTCTCCTCTTACAATAATAAAACTATTGGCTTTATCATCCGTTTGTAGTGCAAATAACCCAGCTGCAACAATGGCTAGAAATGCTAAAACAGAAAAATAATATACAATTAATTTATCTTTATGAATTTAAAAGTCAATCAATATTAAATGTTTTTGATTATGTACATACTTGCCAAGGTAGATAGTGCAATTTTCCCAACAGTTGCCGTATTATACGAAACAATCATTCGTTTTGCTGACGATGCCATAGCTAATTGAATGAGTGTTATTCCTGTAATGAATGCGAGTAAAACTGAAGTTCCTGCAGCAGCTAAACCAGAAACCCATACAGCAACTACAAAATTTAAAATAATAATTTCACTTCTAAAAATAAATTTTTCATACCAATAAAGAGGATTCTTTGTATTTAGAGTTACGTATGTTAAGCATCCAATAAATAACAGACATCTATTTTTAACATTTAACCATCCCAGATAAGGAGAAATATGTTCATCTTTTAGATTAAAAATAAATTTCACACATGAATTGAAAATTTTTCCAGCTTATCATTGAGTTCTTCCGTCAGATCATTATAAGCCCAACAATAGTCAAAATGAGGTAAGATCACCGAAGAGACAAGTTGGATTTTCAATTTAATAGTGAAAGCTTTTCTATTTGATTTAAATTGATTCAATGTTGCGTAATCATTTCTACAAATTTCACCAACATGTTTCTCCCAAGAAAGAGTTGAATTAAAAATAAATCCGAAGTTCTTAACTGATACATAAGGAATAACTATATTGTTTATCTTAATAGGAGAAGACTTTTTTAGATCCAAGTTAACATCCTCCTTAATCAGTGCAAAATTTTTATCAAACTCATCAAAACTAGAGTGTACATAGATTTGTAAATCACCAACATAATACATATATGCTTGGTATGCTGAAGAACATCTCCCAAATCATTTGTAGAAAGTATAAACAGTAAAAAACCCAATACCGAACCTTGTGGGACACCTGTTCCAATAGAACCCCATTAATTTTAATACACGGAGAGAAATAGATGGTACGGGGTACTATCTAGATAGTATTAGGTATCATATTTGATCTTACATATACGGACAGTAATCTAGATTGTACGGGATACTATACATACTGTACGGAGTACCATCTTGATTGTAAAGTGGGTAACATAATCTCACTTTTTTAACATCTAGATGGTACCGAGTAGCATATAGATTGTACCGGATACCATCTACTTTTTACCATCTTAAGATCATAATTTCTTACCATCTATTTCTCTCCGTGTAACAATAAACTATGAAGAACAATGTCAAAGGCCTTGCTAAAGTCAAAGAAAATAATTATATAGTTACTTTCCTATTATCAACAGCATTAAGTATGTCATCAGTAATCTTAAGTAAAAGTTTTTGAGTAATTAATCCTTTTCTAAAGCCAGATTGAAATGAATCAAGAATATTATTAGAGTCTACATATTTAATTAACTGAGTATGTACACACTTTTCAAGGCACTTTGACAGGCCACACAAAATAGCAACCGGTCTATGCTCTCCAGGATGTTGCGGAATTTTAACATTATTAACAGGTTTAATAAGAACATATCTCTATTCACTGAGGTTTGCAGATACTGATTATAAAGATCAAGAACATAGGGAAGTAAAACAGGCATCGCTTTTTTAACATTACTAATAGAATGACCATCAAATCCCTGCGCTTCAGTCTTTATACCTTTTAAGGCATTTATAATGTCAGAACGACAAAAATATCTTCAAAATAAAAAAGATTATCATCAAAATTAACATCAAGAAGGATACTATCTATTATAATTAGGATGTTATATTTCTAATTGTATAAAAGTACAGTTGAATTATGTTTACAATAAATATATACTTACAAACTGGTTTAAATCTGGATACACCCTGACCACATTTCTCACGACCATAGAGTAAATATTTGCATTGTCTCCATGGTCCAAAGTATCCTTTTTCAATTCCACTACCAGCTAAAAGAAAATTAAATTTTAAATCTTACAGGTGCATTTAAAGGTTTTTTATTTTAAAAAATGAGCAATTGTTTATTTAGATAAATAAAAATTTAGTAAAATAAGAAATAAATAAATATAAATTATAAAAAATGAAATTCTGTAATTTGATAAGCTTATAAAGTTTGGGACAAATAAGTCACGTTTATCTAAACATAAAAATAGTTTGTTAAGTGGGTCCTATTAGAACTAGAAGATATAGTTAAAAAGTAATTACATTTATCACGAAAATGTTAGTTTATAAATGCGTTTAATTTATAAGAGAAACATTCCATATCATCTGCGTTTTAACGACATAAAATTAACACAATATGTGAATTAAAAATTACACGGTACAACAGCATTTTTATTTCTGGGACTAAAAACTACCCTAAAAACAGCGTTCTTAAAATTTTCATGGTTAAATTTCTTGGCGATGGAGTTTACGATTTCGTGTTCAATGTTGAATAATCTATAGTAAACACCCTAAACCATTACTGAAATAAAAAAGGCAAATTTTGTTGTTCTGTGCTATATGTAAATTAGGGACGCATGAAGAAGTTCTAAAAATCAATTGTTAGAATTTTCATTTAAGAGAATTTTTAGAACTTCTTCATGCGTCATATTAGACAGTGGCCCAACAGCACGTAAATTTTCAGTAATATTGACAACAAAACATTGCCTCAATATTGACATTATCCCTGCAATATTGCTGCAAGTTTAGAATATTGAGGCAAATTTTCCAATATTGCTGCAAGTTTCGATATCGTGCAGGTGGTTTAATTCCTGCGGATAAGAATTTTTTCATTTCGATTTACTTACCATCAGGATTTGAAAAATATCCCCAAGTTGGCAAAGCAGTGACTGCTGATTGGAGAATTACTGCCAATAATGCTAAACCCAAAGCATAAGTAGATATACGTGCAGCTAGTGCCCGTTTTTCTCCAAGACGTGGGTTGGTCGAAGTTGAGATCACGCTACTCACAGTATGTGGATCTGCCATTCTTCATAATATTATATATATGTATATATTTATACATATATATTTGTAACTAGTACAGGATTGCACAAATGACCAAGTAATTCTAGTCACATACTTTTCTTAAATAATATACTTTTTCTAAAGTATTTTAGTATTAAGTGGACGGAAAATATATCATGTTATTCAGTGAGCAAGTTAATTTCACAGTCTTATTTTCAATATTTTCATTATTTTCTATTTTAGTAAACTTCTTTTTTTATTACAGTAGTTTAAATAGTTTACTTTAAGTAAACTTATTTTATTATGACTGCAATTTGTCAAAAACTGTTCATCCTTTTCTGGGATTTATGTTAAAAACATAAATTTATCTTCAATAATACTTGCATTTAATAATTCCATAATACTTTTTTGTTTTACAATTTATTTTTTTATGGAATACTTTTAATTACATTTGTGCGTGTGCATAAATATATAAATATATATTAAGCCCGTGTGTATTAATTATAAATTAATTCTACAACACTCCTTCTTATATACCTCATTTCTTTTATTTTATTACATTCTGTTTTTTCATTACAAAATTTTTAAATAGGTTTTCTCTTTCTACTGTTTAAAATGTTTCTATTTACAAATGTAAAAAATTTATTACTGTTTGTGGTTTAAATTAGAATATCTTGAATACAATCTTTTTTTTGTACATTATATTTTCTTCTGGGCGTTTAAAACATTTTTCACAAAAGTTTGTTGTGCTTCATGCTTTTGTTTTTGCTTTTGTAGATGTTCTGTTCAAAATAATAATTCATAATTCTGTTTAATTATATTTTGATTGTTTATAGCTTAATGACAATATAAGTCAAAGATGACAACAGATGTTAAAGAAGTTCTGTATAGAGTGAAGGACGTAGGTTAGGTCCGTTAAAACTAGACATCATGCTTCCTTAGTGTTTACAAACTTATACCGGCATAGTCTGTTAATCATTGCGGAAAATGTATAACGGACTCTTCTACTCTTTCCTTTCATATTCCTTCCTTTCATTTTAATTTTTAAGTTCTGATTCTATTCCATCCTTATATACAATTAAGGTCTCATGTGAATATATTTATGCATATATAGTAGTTATAAATATTTGATAAAAAAACAAAAAAATAATCACTAATTAAAATTGCAAGAGATTGTAGTATCACAGGAAATCACATTTTTATTGTTTCAAAATATATATTGTACGCAATTATATACATGATGTTTCGAAATGGAGAACGCACCTTTGCCACTAGTCACAGGAGAGGCTTTCGAAGCACAAGATCGAGACGATTGAGAAACACTTCTGACAAGGTCACTTTCTAATTTTAAAACTTTGGATTCACTTCTTTTTTTATTGCTCATCACATTTTTTCATAGAATTTTATTACATTACACATTTAAAAACCATATGAAAAATAAGTTCACTAAACATTGTTTGTACCTGCGTATTTGAGACAGTATGAAAAAGCGTGACATCACGAGTCTGCGCCTTGCATAGTACTAATAGGAATTGTTGACACCGACAAGCTATATTCCAGCCTTTAAGCTTTCTATTCCATACATCAGTGACGAGGATCCCTCTACGTTGTTATACACATTTTCAATACAAGTAGAGTAGTACACATTATACACACATCAAAGAAAAATTTTAATTTCATAATAACACAAATATTTGTAATAAAAACAAAACACATGATATTATGAAATTGAAAACGGAAAACACGTATTCAGAAAAAAAGGTGTGGTTATATGTAAACTCTACTTCATTTGGAAAATAAAACATTTATAATAATTATTATTACAAAGCAAATAAACAATTAGTTATTATTTCAAATTAAGAAATCAAATAGTAACTCCGAGAAAAAAATAAAAATATAAAGTTTAAATAATACTTTGAAAAGTATATTATGCAATACTAATTATTACTATTTAAAAAAATTTAATACAGCACAATGTTATTTTCTAGGTGTAAATTGACTCCCACGCAGTAAAATAATTTTTTTTAATAGTCCTAATTAAAATCATCAATTCAATGAGGAATTTTATACTATTTATTTATAACGAAATATGATACATAAAAGATTCTATATATAAAATGTTATTAATTTTAAAAAATGATTAATTTATAGGAAACAGAACTTAGCAAACATAGTTCCAAGTTTTTCAAAATTATCAAGATATTGAAGAGCATGTGGATTATTTTTTCTGTAATAAATTAATTTTCTAGGCCCCTCCCTGCACCAACGTAGTAACGCCCTTGAAAATTATGTAACATTTTATGCTTGAAATAACCCAAGAGGGGATTTACTGGTTAAAAAAGTGTACACTTGACTATAATAATTACGTTATTATTAAACTTATTACCCAGATTATTACACTTACTCACGCATAAAAGTCGGAGTAATGTCAAAATACTTACAACCGGCGAGATACCGGCTAGGTAGTAAAATAGAATTTATATACACGGTACCAGGCCGGCAGTTGAATACCGGCCAAGTACCAGCTAGGTACCTAAATTTAAAACCTGCTTTTCAAATTCGTAATCAGCCACCCAAAAAATTCATAGGTACCTATTTTTGGGAATATTTAAATATTTTTTAAATTTTATCCTCCATATTGAATCCGCCATTTTGAATTTTAAAAATCTATATCTTAAGATTCGTAATTAGAGACCCCAAAAACCCCTGGATACAAACATAGAAATCAAACAATTTTTTAAAAGCTCGTTCGCCATATTGGATCCGCCATTTTGAATTTTTAAGTTCTGATATATGAAATTCATAATTAGTGTCACCAAAAACTATGATTTTATAAAAAAGAATAATAAATAATTATACTGCCCCTGTACATTGATTTTTTTTCAAGCGTAGACGTAAGCCTCTACAAGTAATGTGTGAGAATTTGTGTTTACACTTTTGATAGGAACCTTGAATTACTTTGAATTATCTTGAGTTATTCCGAATTAAATTGAAGTATATGAATTATCCTCAATTATTTGAAGTATCGTGAATTATTTTGAAGTATGAAGTACCCAAGTAGCACGATATATCAACCAGATGTCACGGTGATATCACCGGGGAATGTCACCGTGACATCAGGAAAATGTCAAAATGTCCGCCTTACGGTGATATCACACGGTGACATCGAGGTGATATCATGGTGACATCAAGGTGATATTACAGTCATATCACGGTGATATCATGGTGATATCACCGTGATATCATGTTGATATTTTACAGGGACTTAAAATTTTTAATAATTTAAAAAATAATAATAAATAAAAAAAATAATAAAAATAGTAAAAAATAATAATTTTTAAAAAATTTTAAATCCCTGTAAAATATCAACATGATATCACGGTGATATCACCATGATATCACCGTGATATGACTGTGATATCACCTTGATGTCACCATGATATCACCTCGATATCACCGTGTGATATCACCGTAAGGCGGACATTTTGACATTTTCCTGATGTCACGGTGACATTCCCCGGTGATATCACCGTGACATCTGGTTGATATATCGTGCTACTTGGGTAGGTGTAAACCAAATTATTTAGTTATTTACCCCTCGTATTTAATGAATTAGTAGCAAAATTTAGCTTTTAACCAAACCCAACAAAATTCAAATAACCGAATTCAGTTTAAATGAATGTCGTTTAATGTGACAGAATTTTTAAACTAAATTCAAGGTCATGAAACACTTTATATGTGCGATTCCTATAAACATAATTATATGTTGGTTATAGAAAAAATGTATAATACATTGTGTTAAATATTCTAGTAGTTTAGTTGCTCACAGTACACTGAGGAGTTGACAGTCTGTTTTAAAACACTGTTTACAAGTAAAATGTCAGAAAAAAATGAAAGCGTATTAAAAAAATCTGAAAATCGCAAACGAAGCTTTTCTATCATGTCACTCCATCATCATCATCATCAAAACGATCAACCGCAGTCATGTACGGAAAAGCAAGAAACTGAAGAAGAAAAATTAAATTCTCTTCGTAATCAATTTATTATCAATAATTTAGAGAAATGTCATGGGACTGATGATCGTGGTATGTTAAAATTTAAATTGTATCACTTGGTATACATTTACTATCCCTACTGAAAATAAACAGAATTGTTCTGAAAGACTTATTCCGCATATTTATTAGATTTTTCTTTACAGATGGTACAATTACAATTATTTATAACAATGAAGAAAATAGCGACGATATCCATGACGAGAAGGATTTAAATATAGTAAAAGCTGTAGGCACAATGACAAATGAAAGTAGTGCTATTTCTCAGCAACCCGATCACAAAGTATATCAATTGCGTGAATTTAGTCTTATTTACACAATAAAATGGTTAGGTACATTCGATGAGGAGAATGAAATATTTACCATAAATCCGAAGATATTGGAAAATTGTCAAATTGTCGTGGACAAATCAACTTTAGAATTTGAGACAATCTTTTTGCGGATCTTTCAGCTAATTAATCCATCGTTATTGTGTGGAATAAAGTTAGATAAGAATGTTATTATTGTACCGACATTGTCAATGAGAGCGAAAGGTTCATTTATCAGTTTTCACGATGAGTTTGAATACATTTCCGGTGGACAAACAGTTCGTGATTCTTTAAGTAATTTTGTTTTTTTCGATTATGGTGGCACATTTACAAAATCACAGTGTCCAGGCAAGAATGGAGGTAGTTTTACAACTTATCGTTTCTTAACTTCCAACATGATTGTTTATCGTCAAGAAATTAAAAAAAATAATTGCACTGTTATTCAAACTTATAATAAAAATATTTTTAACATTAATAATCGCAGAACAGCTAAGCTGTTTCTGTTTAGAAATAATCAATTTTTTAATATAGTCACCCAAAGTGAAATTTCATATGAATTGTATCAACCATTTTTTACCGTTTTTAAAATAGTATGGTCTAATTACAAACGCAGCGAAGATGGTCGCATGGAAATTTGGCCGACAATAGAAATAATTGCTGCGTGTGTTCAGCTAATTTAAGTGAACTATTTTCTAAATAAAGTTATAAAATAATAATAAAGAAATATATCATAATTATAAAATTATCATTATCATGTAATATGCTTTAATAAAAATGTTTCAAAGTTAAATATTGTTGGTGGCAGCGGTGGGATTTAACACTTTTATTATATAACTATAACTATTCCTTATATTAATATATTAAGTAAACAAATTGAAAATTCAATTACAAATTTTCAGAAATTTCTAAATAAACCCTTATTAATTAATATTAATTATTAATTTAATTTCGGTAAAGTTTTTTATGTTTTGAAGACTTAAGTCAAAACAACCAAGATTTTTTTATGTATTCTAGAACTTATTAATTTATTTATCATATTATATAATATATAATTAATGACTTATTAACATTTTTTAAATGTAAAGACAGTTATATTCGCAAACAGTCATCAGCAATTGCTCCATATTTGGGTGATTGGATTTAATAATGTATTTATTGTCCCAAGTTTTTTTAAAATCATAGTGGACTGCTTCCATTGCTTGTTCTGAATAATAGCTCAAACTCGCACTTCTTACCTTGAACGAAAATCTTCGATATGAGAAACCCATCAGTAAAAAAAAAAGAATTGGGAGTAAACAAACCCGAATTTGCAGTGACTTATTAAGCTCAATTCGTTTTCGCGTTTAAATCGATTTGAAACATTACGGTGAATCAATTTAAGAAATAACAATTACTTTACGATTAACCGAATCCGATCAATAAAAATCGCAATTTCCAGAGTTTATTAAAATTTGTTCCACTTTTGAATATCACCAATCGAAAGGGCGTTAAAAAATGTGTCAAAAACAAGAAGAATTGTTCCAGAAAAAGCGCCGGAAAGAGGATAATTGTATATTACGTGCCTTTCATATTCTTCTTTTAATAAGCACAATACCAGCACAACTTTAATGTAAAGTGCAATATATTAGTTGTTTTCAAAGCGTCTAATTGTGTAGTTGTAGGAATTAACATAATCGTATATTTAGTGCTATAGATATTTGATGAACAGTTAAAAAAAAAATTTTTTTTTCTTCGTATTCGTAGAAAAATGTCAAATAATTATGATGAACCATTATTATCTAAACGAATTAGATACTGTGAAAGAGAAGAAAAAAATTATCAAGCATTACGTGAATGGTTGGAGAAATTTGTTGATAATTGTCGATTGCCAAATATAAGTTTAATTTCAGAAACACAACAGGACAATTCAAGAAAAAGTTTACGTGATTTATTTCGTGTAAATTGTAATCAATTAATGGTATATTTCCTAACAAATTTTGCAGTTATTGATTCTACACAACGTATTGTTAATTTAGATCGTAAACTAATTCGCATGGCAATTAAATTAGATCGTTATATGTATGATACGCGGTATTTTTCTGAGAAAACATGCCCACCTAATATATCAATTGTAGGATCTGATACTCATCAAGCAATATGCAAAACACAATTAACTTTAATTGCATTTCAGTTGCTTATTCATTGGCTCTACATTTTATATCGCTTGTGTTGCTTTACCAGTACCAATAAAACTGCTTTACAATACGATACCGGTTTAATTTTTGTAATGAACAATGTGTTGAATCAAAATTTGCCTCATGATTTTTTGCGTTTAATACTAGATATTGATGTTGTAAGCAATGTGATAAGTACAAGCAATGAATTATTGCAGCAAAGACATAAACTTATTGGCATAATTATAAAAATAATCTTTTCCATCCTTCATATCGACTATTCACAAGAAAATGTAGATCATTATATTGTCGTTACATCGCGACCCAACAAAATGAATTTTCATCTCTATTTTAATGGACATTTCGATGTTGTAATAGGCTTATTAGTGCGTCACGAAATTCATACTTACATTTATAATGCACAACATGAATTCATTTTTAAACTCGATGAGCCAAAGTTAATCACCTTACCAATGGGTCGTGAACATGTACCATTCAAATATTACATCGACAATGATAAATTGGTTGAAGAAGATAAAAAGGTGTTAAGCTTTGAAACTTTTATGAAAATGTCACCAATTGATTTATGCAATTTTAAAACTTTTGGACTAATAAATACAACGACGAAGAACGTAAAATTTGCTACGCTTAATTTAAATCAAATTCACGTTTGCATTTGTGATTCACCCAATTGGCAGAGTGGTGCAGAATTCGATCATATTGAGAGTTATCCATTTAATTTTCATTGTTTCATTTCAATGTACTCAACAACGATGGATCAACCGTTAGAAAAACCAATTTCATATTCCCAAATTATTGATACACAAATGAAACCAATTTCACCGCATTACTTATTGCGTTACAATTTCACCCAATCTGGAATTTCCTATGTAAATTATATTTATGAACATGTTGTAATTTACTCGATTGATCGATATTTATTACATCTGTACATTTGCCTCTCATCTAAAGAAACCATCATAAACGTCAATCAGGATATTGCACTTGAATGCAACGTGCCAAAAGAATTTTATGAATTCCCCTTGGAAATTGTTGTGCGTAAACACTACAATTTCCAAAATTATGATATTCATACCAATGATTGGTCACAAAAGTTTTCAAACAATGACAACAGTACATTAAATTTATTGCAACAATTACCGCGACATCATTCGAGTGAGAGTTACAATGATACGACAATTCATTTAAGCGATTTAAAATGTTTTCCTTTTACAAGACAACAATGCTATCTTTTAAAATTAATTGAATCAAGACGTGATAACAATGCGATTCGTGACGATTGGCATCAACTTGAACAACAAGTTTATCGTATCTTATTAACACGTTTGGGTGCTATTGATGAAAACTATATAAATTTTTTGCTCTTTCTGCTACATCGAACTAATTTGAATCTAAATATTACTAACCGTTTTATTCGTAAAGTAATTCAACAACTACAAGTTAATGCGCGATTTTTACGTCAACGTAATGGAAATACTGGAACTAGTAATTCACGTGTTCGCATTGAACATACAAATCAGAAGTCAACAAAAAATCATCAACAAAATACGATTGGACAACTCGAAACTAATCATTACGAAGAAGATTATATGTGGCTTAAGACAATTGTGCAAATTTGTTTTAATAGTGGAGCTGTGACAAGTACAATTTCAGCCTTTTACAGATACACTGAATTTAACAGTTTTTTTGATTGTGTCCATTTCGTTCTGCAAACATTTCAGTTGACAATACACGCTAAATATATTCTATCAAAATGGGCACTTATGTCACCGTCACCAAGTAACTTGATGAGCATGTCGTTTCGTTATACAGACTGGCCATATTGTCTCTTTCACTATGCAACTATTGCTGACAATTTCTCAGCAATGCAGAATAAACAATTTATACATGCACGCGACTATATCAGCAATTTATTTCATCTTTTTCAACAATTGTTAATTACTGAATCGATTCCATTTGCAGACAGTTATCAGGATTTCTTTTTTCGACATATTTGTGGATTACAGTCGTTAGGTAATCAGCGATTTATTGTATTTTATGCTGGAAAATATCATTCTATATACGAAAATGAATTAAAAAATTCATGTACGTACAATGGTGGTAGCAGTGCCGATCATTATGAAATTGATAGTAATGCATTTAATTATTTCACTTTTCACGAAGTTGTAGGTCTTTTAAATCCTCTATTTAATGTCTACGAATTAGCTGCTCCATCGATACAAACACTTATAGGAATTAAATTACACCCATCGATATCAAAAATAATTAGGCAACATCACCTGACGATGCGAACATGCCCTCAGTTTCAAAATTTTATTTTACAAGTCTACGCTAAATGTAAACCATTCATAGACTTGTGCTGTGAAAATGTACTAATGGTTGCTCTCCTTTATCCAATCGCAAATCGCAGTATACTGGGCAATGATGCTAGTTTTTTACCTTCAATTTCTTATCAAGATGAATCCTTTATTGTTTTATTGAATGATTTTTCATATTTACAAAAGAAATGCGGCAATGTTTATTGGAATGAAACATTTTTGGAAACAATTATGATAAGGAAAAATTTATTCACGTACTATATAAAACGTTTTATATTATTGTTTCACCTTTTGACGCAAAAGTACAATTGTAATTTTAGAAATATTATTGTATTTATTCAAATTCTCTTTGGTAATGGTATACGCGAACAAATTGGTTTACCTCATCAAATATATGATATAAAAGTAAATAAAAGTCATAAAGAAGAGGAAGAAAATGAAACTCATCATAGCGATGAAAAAGATAATGAAATATTTGAAGCAAATAATTCTAATGATGATAAATGCTTAGCAATTGGTCGTTATCATGGAAATCCAAGTACAATGACTGAATTTATAAAAAAAATTACCCGAGTTTCAAAGCAACGCGAGAAACTCTTACATCAAGAACAAGAAAAAATAATTAATATAGTCACACAAAAAAGTGCAAAAGAAGCACTATGGCAAATAACAGATCAAGAAGAATTAATTTTGGAGAATGATCATTTATTTCGTAATCAATATTGTCAATTACTTGGTCGCGATTTTTCGAAAATTATACTACCAGTAGGGAATATAAATCATGATTACCAAGTAACGCAACGTGACGTACTAATTGTATTGCTCAATTTTGACAATGTCTATTCCGATAGTGAAGCATATGATCAGTTAATTAATCAGATAAATTTACATCAACAACATAGTAAAGTTTTAAAATTTTTTATCATGTTAGTATCGTGGTGTATAAGAATGGGTCGTCACCACACATTGAGTGAGACCAAACTTTTTTCTCAATTGTTTAAGGACGCACCACGTGTTTATGAGCAGCTTAACGAAATGATATACACGAGCATAGGACCAGTTTTAAAATTTACCAAAATTGATAGATTAGCTAAACTACTGAAAGCATACTGTGAGAATACAGTAGTGGATTTTCAACAATTGTACAAAACAAAAATAAAACATTTGCAAATACCCGATTTGTGCATTCTTACAGCTGGTATAGATCAAGAAACGCAACTATTAAAAAAAGACTATCCAAACTACTTTGAAATTACTGATACTGAACATACTATTGACCAAGACATGGTGGAAAAATT